CTGAGAATAAAGTCACAGCAACAAGTTTCCTCTGGCTCAGTAGCTCTGTCCATTGGGGAAGGCCACTAACAATATATCCAGACTTGAATCTTTTTTTTTTTTTTTTTTCTTGAGACAGGGTCTCACTATGAGGTTCAGGGTAGCCCTAAAATCACTATGTAGTTCAAACTGGCCTGGAACTCACGGTAATCTTCCTGCCTCAGCCTGAGTGCTGGGATTATAGGCATGCATCATGTCCAGTATCTGAATCTTTTTTCTACTCAGCTAGTGACATCCTCTTGTTCCAGCCAGTCTCTTTTCTCCTCTCCCCTGTTCTCCCCTCTCTCCTTTCCTTTTTTCACTTTTTCAACAGTCACTGTGTAGCCCTGTCTTTGGTGACTTGCTGTCTCTTAGTATTTGCATAGTTTTGTCTATTCCAGAGAATCATATAGATTTATATACAGTATGTAGCCTTTTCAAAATTGGTTTCTTTCACTTAGCAATGTGGATTTAAGGTTTTTCTATCTTTTCACAGAAGGACAGCACAATTCTCTCTTATCACTCAATGAAACAATGGGTTTGCATAATCCATTAAAGGACATCTCCCTTGCACCCAGCTCTTAGCAGCTACGAATGAAGCTGCTATACACACTTGTGTGCAGGATTCTAAGCAGCCATCAGGTTTCAACTCCTATGGAGAAACACTGGTGGCTGGATGGTGTAAGATCCTAGGTAACTTTGCAAGACACGGGAAGCTGTCTTCTAGAATCCTGCACCATTCATCATTTCCACCAGCGATGACAAAGTTCCCATTGCTCCACGTCTTTCCGTGCTTTGGTGTTGTCAGGTTTGGGGTTTTAGATATCCTAATAGGTAGGCAGTAGTATTTCATTACTGTTTTAAGGTGTAATGCTCTAATGACATGACATCGGCTATTTTATGTGCAATATTGCCCTCTGTATAGTCTCCTTGGTGAGATGTCTATTCAGATCTTTTCATTTTTTAATTATTTGTTTCCTACCACTGACTGTTAAGATTTCTTTGTACATTTGGGTAAAATCCTTTATCAGGTTTTAAAAATACTTTATCCCAGTCTGTAGCTTGTATACTCTTTTAACACTGTCTTTGGCGAAAGCCTTTAGTTTTAATGAAGTTACACTTATCAATCTTTGTCTTTCAGAGATCATGCCTTTGGCATTGTTGTCTAAAAAGGTCATCACCAGGGGCTGGGGATTTAGCCTTGCAAGTGTGTGGTTGTGAGTTCGATCCCTGGTACCGATAAAAAAGAAAAAGACCAAAAAAAAAAAAAAAAAAGGTCATCAATAGTTTTGCATTTTATGTCTAGGTTGATTATCCATTTTGAGTTAATTTTTGTGAAGGATGTTAGGCCCTTGGGGTTTTTTGTTTGTAAATGTGGATGTCCAGTTACTCCTGTGCCATTTGTCTCTTTTGTACTTCAACATTTTCTAATTTATCTTCCAGTTAAATAATTCTCTCTTCAGTTGCATCTGTTCTACTGCTTAATCTTAAATCCTAGACTTGGGATTTGGGTTTCTCAGTTTGAAATTCCTATTGAGTTTTCACATGCTTTGCTACTTTTTATAACTTTCAGTTCTAACGTTTTTCAATCTAGTGTTTTACTTCCTTAAACATGGCGAGTATATTTCTTTTAAAGTTTGTATCTGCAACCTAATCTCTCCAGAGGTTAGGTTAAACTCTCTAATGTTCATCTCCGTTGTATCTAAAGTGGAGCACTACTCAGCCACAAAAAGGGTAAGTTTGAGTCATTTGTAGGGAAATGGATGCATGTTGAGATCATAACACTAAGAAAAGTAATCAGACACAGAAGGTTAAATATCACATGATTTCTCTTACAGGAGAAACCCAGATATAGATAATTTAAAGAGCAAAACAGACAAATGATAGGAAGAACTTTTTGCAAATAGGAAGGGAATCAAGGATGGAAAGAGAAGGGAAAAAGGAGGAGTAGGGGAAATAGAAAGGACTAAGATGTGATATGTGTGGGTATCAACTTATAGTGGTGAATGTATTCATTATGCACTCCAAACATTTACTAGCAAAAATCTTTATAAAACTTGTGCCTAATAATTTGAGCAATGTGAAGCATTTATGATTCTGTCGTTTCTATTTTTATTATTTTTGCTGTTTCTTCTTCATGCTACATTATCATGTCACGTACCCTTCTTAGCTCTCTGTGCATGAGACACTGTTTTCTGTTTTTCTGCAGCGCTAGGAATGCCCAGGGCCTTGTGCACCTTGGGCTGAGTGCTCTACCACTGAGCTACATCCCCAGCCTTAGAGAGTGTATTTTTTAAAGGTCTGTGGAATCCTTAAAGACTTAGGATTACATTTGCTTCTGCCAGGTGCTTCTGCTACTCAAGATTTCCTGGATCACACAAATCTCTCGTAATCCCAGCAATCTCTGTGAGGGCAGATTTACCTTTGTTTTCCTTTCATATCCCACCCAAAGCTGGGTGCCAATCTATTTTGCCAGTCCAAAGTACAAAGAAATTACCATGGACTCCACCTCTGGCAGGACATAAAACAACAACACTGTTGTTCCCCAGGGTCCCAAAAAGCTCTCAGTAACATTGCTTTGCCTTTAACCTGTTTATTCCTGAGTGGCATATTCCAAAACAGTAGGTTAAACTTCTCTAAATGTTCCTTTCCTTCCTTTAGACCTTGGTCTAGCAACTGTTCACCAAACCTGGTATATCTCCACTACCTCAGAGCATGTATTTTAATAATGTTTAGTCCTAGCTGTCCTTTGTAGAAAAGGGAGCACTGATTACCTACTTTGTCGTTTCTGCTACAGAAATCATAAAAGGCAGTTTCACCCTTTACATCTGTCTTACCTCTGTGGTCTTTAACTCAACTGACTTTATATTACAATGTGCATGTATCAACTAGCCCACACTATCAGCGTGCTAGGACCAGGTCTAATCTATGCAGCGTTTGTCTCCTTCCTAGAAGAATCATTTGTTAAACTGAACTACATTGTTTTCTCTGATGCTTTCATATGAACCAAGAAAAACTGTTCCTGAGTTAAGGTCCTGTCATGTTGCTCAGGCTGGTCTTAAATTTGTAGGCTCAAGTGATCCCAAAGTGCAGGTACCATGGGCACATACCATACCACCTAGCTAAAAAATTTACTCTTCAATAATCATTAAAAATGTCTTTTCAGCTGAGTGTGGTGGTGCACACTGGTAATCACAGCACTCAGGAGGTGGAGGCAAAAGGAACATTGCCATTTCAAGACTAGCCTGGCTACAAAGTGGCTCAAGGCCAGCCTGAACTGCAGAGTGAGAACCTGTCTCAAAAAAAACAAAAAAAAAGGTGTCTTTTCTTTTTCATTGTTTTCAATATTTACAGTTTCTAAAAAGAGAGTCTTATATCTACTTGAGTCTTTCTAACTCTTGCTATTTGTATTATTTATTTGAATTCAAGATGGTCTTTTTTCCAGATGTGCCTTATCATGTGTTTATTATGTATACATAAAATGTATATTATGTTAAATATGTAAGAAATGTATTTTAGCATGGTGATTTAACATTAATTTTATTTTGAAAATTTCATGATATTTCTTAGGCATTACCAACAGGATACTTAGCAAAACCAAGGCTGCAATAGGCTATATATTGAGGTTAGAAAGTAACTAGTACAACACAATAGTAATTATTTGAAATGTTTTTGTGTATCTTTTCAATTTCAGTGCTTTCTTTCACTAAGAAGCCACATGTGAATTGTTCAGTATTTCAGAGCCTTTTTCTATAGAGAAAGAAGTAAATATGTCACAAAACTTAAGGTATGTTTCGAAACTTCTAGGAACCAGTAGCAGAATAAATAAGTTAGTTTAAAGGGCATTCAGATCTTCTAGTAGCAGAAAAATTTTCTAATTTGCAAATTTGAGGAGAATAATAGCCATAACAACAATAATCTGATCTCTTAAATTTGGCCAGCTTGCCTCCCATGGCTTATACTTCTTACATTATTACATATATCCTTTTCCTTAACAGGTCACATATGATTTGTTTAATGCATGCTTTTCTTTGCTGGCACTGAAATTCTTAGCAGCAGACATAATACCTTTGATGCCTTCGATAACTATAAAGCATAAAATGACATTTTTGTGAGTTTGCATAACCCAACAACTTAGCTAGAATTTTTTTCTGTATAACCCCAGGGAAAAGCAAGCCTTTGTCTATTCCAGATTCCATTCTTCACCCAACATGTCTTAAATTCTGCCTGGATAACACAAGCAGGCTATGTATAACTTGTCTTAATCCCATCTTAGGTGCCATAGCTATAATCATTATCACTGGCCAAGGCGTGGCCAAATTATTATTTTTGGTCTTCACCATCCCTCAGATATTCAGTAAAATGTTCACTGGTAACAAAACCAATCTTTAATCATTTAGGGCCTATCACCCAGATTCCTTACTTCTGTCTCCTCTTCCCATCAATCAGTTAACTTTTGGGCTTCCTCAATGGTAAACACAACATCAAAAGCTGGCCATGCAATGGGGAGACAATTCCAGCTAGTAGACACTTGTGATGGCCTAGAACTTCAACAGAACATAGAGAATTGATGGAAAGTGGGATCTCTACCTAAAAGTGGAAAATCTTTCCAAAGATACCGAGTCTTCTCAGCAGGTATGAGAAAGACAGTTTGTGAAGTCTATAATACAGTTGCCACACTCATTCTGGGTGGTGTTCTCCTGCCTTCTAGGGTGCTCACACGCCACTTATTCAGCTTGAGATCAAGGACATGCCCTGTGTCTTGCTGAACCTCTTCCCATTACCAACAAAGCATAAATAATCAGCCGACTTGTGTCTGAGGGTCAGAGCATATTCCAAGAGCGAAACAAAATGAGAAAGTGCTCTGTAACTGCAGTGTGACATTCTAATTTTATGTTATCAGTAACATAAATTTTTTTGTGTGCTTTAAGTTTTAAATTAGAATGCCATTTTTCTCAGGTGTTACACATGTCAGTGCTTACCTTGGGAGGTTTCCTTGTGATGGGAAAAAAAGTTCAGCAGCAGAGATATAGGTGATCAGTACAGCAGCCACATCCAAAGGAAACAATAAAAGAGAAAAAAAGAGGTAAATTTAGCACCTTGGAAACACTCTGAAAGATAACTCTACCTCACAATGATCAAAAGCCAAATTCAAACACATTATTGCCAGAAGGAAACAACTTTCATATTTGTTCAAAAACATAGTATACACATAATGAAGTTCTATTCTGGTATAACAAGCTCACGATGGGGTAATAATCCACGTGTTTCACTGCCAGGAACCTCTAAACCGCAAGTGCTACAGGTATGACTCTCCTATTGGGTGGCATGGGACAGTCCCATCAATTGGTACAAGACAGCGAGAACATGTTAACACATGTTAATAGAGTGAGTCTAGCCGTTCAGTGAGGCTTTTTAATGATTTTAAAAAATGGCAAAGAAAGAGCATAAAGATAAAAAAATAGTAGTCATTACTGACCAAAATGACGGTCAAGCATTTTAAAATCAATTTTATATTTAAATGTTCCTAAATTGATGATATATATGCATATTTTCTTTCTAAACATGTATCAAATATTTCAAAATCTTCTTTTGATAAATATATATACTTTAATATACATACATTTCCTCTTTTGAAAGGCATGCTTTCAGATGATAATTTTCACCTGTTTAAATACTAAATAGACTTCCCCTCCTCAATCACAAAACACATAAGTATTTTTCACGTAATGTTCATATTTCCGTGCTAATAACTCAGAAATGACTGAAACTGCACCTGGAGAAAACTCTGAAGAGGAAAAAAGTAATAAAATATTAGACTGACTTGCTTTGTAAATATTTTCCTCATGTACAAAATTTAGAAGTTGAATTTTTAATTCTAAGGTGTGCGGATCCCATGACAATTCTTGGTTTTCCTGATACAGTCATTCTTGATCAACTGTTCCTACTATCAATTCATAAACTGTAGAATTACTGTGAATGAGAAATGGAAAATTTTCCCCATGGCTTCCATCTGTCTTCAGAGGGAACAGAAACAGGGAAAACAGATTTTTGTAGGGCAGAAGGCACACAATTGACTGACAAAAATAGCCCAATGTCTTTTCTCAGTCACTGGATTCAACAGTCTTCAAAGAGCTCTGAAAGGACCAGCACAAAATCCAGAGCTTGACAGTAGGGAAAGAATGTCCACTGATTTCACAGTCAGGTGGGCAATTCTATACTTCTAAGTGCAGACAAAGAAAATCATGAAATTCCTATGATGGTTTAGCTGAAATGTCATTTTCTTGGAATTCCAAGCTAAAAGAAAATGAGCTTTTATGCCTATGTCATGACCTCAGATGTACAATAGGAATGTAATTTTTGTCATCTGGTTTTTGTCTAAAATAACTGCTATCTTTGGCTATAATCAGGCAAGTTTCAACATACCAGTGTATCTACTCGTTAAAATAAGACAAACATTTATAGATGTTATAATAAAAATGCACAAGTGTTTTTAATCCTAAGAAACTGTGGATTCCCACTCTCTTGACAAAGTTTGAAGTTTGTGCCAAGAAACCTTCCTTAAGTAGAACACTACTCTGGAAGGCATCTATTCTGAGCAGGTAAAATAGTAAGCCTTCTCTTATTTTGTTTGCTTTATTTTTTTAAAGCCACTTAAATTACTGCTTTATTTAACAAAGGAAAGTCAATGGATTAGAAAAAGGCAATTACATGAAGCAGCACACTCCACATCAAAAAAATACAGTCATTCCATGTATCTGTAGAGGATTGATACTACAATTCATGGACACTTGAGTACTTTACATAAAATGGTGCAGTATTTGCATATAACCTTTGAACACCCTCTCATACACTTAAATTATCTGCAGATTATCTAATACAATCTAAATGCTATGCAAAAAGCTATGTTTGTTTGGAGAATAATGACCAGAGGGAAAAGTCTTTACATGTTGAGTGCAGGTATGTTCTGATCTTCAGTGGGTTGAATGAAGATATGAAATCTACATATATAAAGGGTCAAATGTATAGTTTCTCATCTAAACTATACTAAACCAAGTAACCCAACAGGGGCGGAACTAGCTAAGGAGAATCCCAGGGATCTCTCCAGAGCAGTCACACAATACAAACGACCAAGCAGCAAAGAACTAGAGTTGGTCAGTAGCCAGTGGTACACTTACCACCTTAGCTACCTAATTAACAAGGTTATCCTTTCTTCATTAACATCCATTCCAATAAGATTACTTCTTCTTAGGAAACCAATCATTTCAGATTTGTAAGTACTTTAAAAGTATATTCTTTTAAACCATAGTCTTCTAGTAAAAAAAAAGGTATATTCTTTTCCCTTAAAAGACAGCATATTATGTGAGGTACAGATACAATCCTGCTACCTTCATGTGTTTTGACTAACGACAAATGAAGAGAGGCTGAGTAGAGAGAAGGGAAGCCAGCAAATGTGCTGCTACCCTCCAGTAGTGGTGAACCAGGATCCTTGCTACAGAAGAGACATTAGCACGTCACAGCTGTACTTTATTAACTGGAAAACCTTTCTTGAGGTTTTAGATGATGGACAGTTAAGTTACCCTAATCCGGCACCACAGTTTACTGTTTACTGTCCAAATCCCCAGAGAATGTATGATATTCATGAGAGTTGTGAAGAAAATTATTCTCTAATGTGAGTAATTGCAATACTATAACCAGATACAAAATGTCACCCTTTGGAAAGAAACTCATGTGATTATTACAATGTAAAAATAAAAGATTTCACACATATATGCAAATAAACATAAAAACGTAACTTGAAGGGAGGCCAGCAGGCTGAGATGACTCCAATGGTCTGGGCTCCTACATACACAAAAGGAAGCAAACGCAGGCTCAGTGAGCACCAGCTCAAGAACTTCCCATCAGGGCAATTCAATTATGGCAGCTGCTCACAGTTAAACCAATCAGATCATGTCCCTGTTCTGCCTCTAAGCCCGCCCTGAAAAAACTTTCCTTTCATATTTCTTTGTGGAGGCTGAACCACTTCCCATTTGGAGCTACTGGATTCATGAATCATCAGCTGCATGAATCAACTTTTAAACTTTCAATGTGCCAAAGTTTATCTTTTAATAATACGGAAAAGGATTAATATGGGTGAATAATATGAACACCTATCAAACTCTATACAACTAACATTAAATACAGTCATCCACCATATACTGACATTAGGTCAATAACAGACCCCTCAGATGATACTGGTCCCATAAGATTATATCATTTAGTGACAATGTTATTGTTTGAGTTTGTGCAGGTATAATCTATTATGTCCAAACAATGCTATCACCCAATCAAGCATCTCTCAGAATGATGAATACCTCAGAACATATTCCTGTTGTTAAGCAATGCATGCTTTTGTGGAGTTTTAAAGTTATCACCCTTTGGCGATTACATCAGTCAAAGCCTTGTCGTTATTGTTGAAATACCTGTGTGTATTCATTACAGAAAGAGGTAACATTTCTGCTAAGCAAATACCAGTGAACTAAAAAGAACAAAGATCCTTCAAACAGTCCTCTCAGACCCCACAACACAGGCTTAGTTGTGACTCCTTAGAAAACAAGAGCATTGCACAGACGTTTGGTTAAAAGAGTATTTACTCCTGGCCATTCTCCTTTGCCTAGTCTCACAATCATCCTCCAAAAAGGCCAAAACAAAGTGACTCTCTGTAAATGTTGTCAGGTCTTTCTGCATCTGAAAAGAAACAAACTCAACACAATCTGATTTTTTTTTTTTTTTATCAGTACCGGGATCGAACTCATGACTGCCTGCTTGCAAGGCAGGTACTTATGCTGCTGAGCTAAATCCCCAGCCCCCACAATCTGATTTTTGAAAAGCCAGCATAGTCATAATATTTCTCTGCCTCAAGATTTGGAGAGAAAATAAGAAGGTGCAGTTGTACACTAGTACTATTTTTTCGAAACACTGAAGCTTCTCTCCCCTCCCAGGACAAGCAGGGTATTTACACCATGGATATTTACTACACAGCTCATACAATTTACATACTTCTGTCCTCTTCTGCCTCCCAGACCTATCTGACCACTTGTGTCCACTCTTTAAGACCCAGCTTAGGCCAAGCATGGTGGCGCATGCCTGCAACTCCAGCACTCGGGAGGCTGAGGTAGGAGGACTGCCATGTGTTTGAGGCCATCATGAACTACACAGCGAGACCTTGTCTAATTAAAAAAAAAGACCCAGTTCAAAGCTCCGTCAGGTCCTCACCAACTGTGTGAGCCACCTTGGTCTTCTCTATCTGTAAAAACCCAGAATTCCTATGGTCAAAAACCAGCCTTGTACTTTCTGGGACACATAAGATTCTACAGTCATCAGTGGCTCTGCACTATCCAGTCTCTTTATATTTTCAGTCCCTTGAAAACCAAGGTCATGCCACATGCTACCTTCATAATTGCTGTCCTCTACAGTACTATTTCTTGTAGGGCTCAGCACAAAACTAAAACTCAGAAAGAATTTTTACCTTAGCGAGTTAAACACAATCCAGATGTGAGTAGATTTAAATCACCACCATGAGCCCACAGTTTTGGGGAAAGACTGCCTGCATTTAATAGCTGTAAAGACTCCAGAGGTGGCAGGGTGTTGCCCAGTGCTTGGCACGCACAAAACCTTGGGATTTAGTCCCCAGCATTTCTCCCTCCCCCAAGAGATTTCACAATTTGTTAGAAAACAGACTATTTCTGATTATTTATTTAAAAATAGATCAACATTTTAAACAGTGGAAGTTCAATGGGATGTTAACAAAGGTTCAGTAGAGAACACTTCTAAGGTCAACAAAACAGAAATGCACCAAAGCTAGTGAAACACAGGTTACTTTATGGCAGCGGTTCTCAGACTTTTTCGGATGCTTTGCCATGCTGATCACTGTGTACTGCTAATCTCACTGCATAGTCAATACAGCCTTCCAACAACAGTAATTCCAGGTTTAGCAGGCCACATGTTTCTTTGGG